CCCATGTGATGTTAGTGGTGATCAATGTGGAAGGGGGTCTGTAATGGTGTGGGATGGGATCACGATGACGTGCAGTACCGACATCTACCAAGGGAGAGTCTCTGGAGTCTGCTACCGTGACCACATCATCACGCCACACGTCCTGCCGTTTGCACGCCGCCACGGACAAGGTTTCATTTTCCAGGATGATAATGCCAGGGCTCACCATGCTCACATTGTCCTTGATCATCTCCTGCAGCACCAAATCGAAACTCTTCCATGGCCAGCGATGTGCCCCACCTCTCCCTCATAGAACATGTGTGGGATATGCTCGGATGACGAATAAAGGGGCGGCAACCCCGATATTCCCAATCAAAGCAACTGGATATATAACGAACTATTGCATGCAGATTACGAAAAATATATTATCGTGTAATGGTGGTGTGTTAGATTTGGATCAATAGATGCTATGACATTTTGAACCCCATCACAATATTGTGTCCCCTCGGACATCGCTTTATGTCAGTTTTATAGCAGGAAGCCCTAGGGACCTTTTACTGTAAAATCCCCACGTAACAGATGTATCCTGGTCTCGGACGGTTACAATACCCACAATAGCTTCCAGAATCCCACAGTGTGAAATCCAGTGTCACAGATTTGAACTGAAACTAATTTGTATGCATAAAAGGATATAATATCATTTAACAACACGTTGTTCAAAAGACCTAGAAATCACCATTAACTAAAGTTGAACCATCACACTAGGGGGAATATGGACTTGCGATACTTCTACTAATTGTGTGGTTCCCCATCAGGCTTTAAACCATCGTTTACGTTTTGGCGATTGTACCCAGTTTTAGCCATCAACTGAAATTGTCAGTTACACTGCGATGGCACAAATAACATGTATTTAAGTAAAGCCCTTACGGTACCCACCAAGGGCGACAAAACTTTTACAGTATTTCAACCTCAGTCTGGGACACAGCCACTAATAAACTACATGTAGCTTCATTTGTATACGCAGCCGTTATATAGGAAGCAACTGTACTATGAACCAATTCAATTTCCTTAACAAAATAATATTTATATGAGAATTGATTCCAGTAAAGGAATCTCTCACAGATGAAGATTTGAAACATCGATTCCTTGTTACGAAAATATCTGTCAAGTCACGCATGACATACTTGTCTGCAATTTTGTTATCATAAGGAAGAGAGAATGGAGGATCTCACCTCTTAAGAAGTATCGGGGAGTATATTGAAAATGGAAAATACGACAAAATGACGTCTTCATATCTGGAGTGACAACACAAGTAGGTGAAACTGATACTCGGTGCGTGAATGAGTGTAGCGTTACATAATATTCCACCAAACCTAATTGAAATTGTTACTTTAACATATGTTTTTCCGACAAAATTTAAAATGAAGTTTTGGTAACAATTTGTTTGGAATCTCCAAAATATGAGCAATACCGGAAGTTATGGTTATCCTTGACTACGCTACAAATGTGATGGTCAGAAAGTTGTCAAATAATAATTGTTGGGATGGTATGATCTGCCACTGTCCATATCATGGTTAACTGTGCTGGGTATAGCATGGTTAACATCTGTCAGCCTCCTCGCCATGCTGACAATTATGCGTCAAATTCTCTGCCAGACTTCATGCAGTGTCTTGAATACACAATGTCATTTAGAAAGTGGTCAAATGTAACATATGTTATGTTTGGGGTTACACTTTCTTAGTAAAGTATAGATTATATTACCTTTCTTGGGTTGAGTCCCACCTGGGGTTGGAACCCACACCCTCAGAGTCAGGCACTTAATCGCCAGCACACAAATTTAACCGCCTAACCCGCTCAGCCACCGTGACTTCCACATGTTTTATGCAGTGTCTTCACCAATTCCTGCAAATTTTAATCAGGACCATCTCAAGCTTTAATCTTGCTTGCAAGATAATCCCAAGGATGGTAAATAGGGTTCATATCGACCCTTCTTGTGGGCTATGGTAATGTTTCGATTCCCTGCAAATGGGTGATGACAGCTCCAAAAGGAATATTAAACGATTGACAAGGGTTTATCAAAATCTGGCACGACGGCAGTGTAACGTACTTCGTGTTGAAAACGTTTTGACTCTTTAGTCCCCCGGAACGGTCTGAGATAAAACGTGCGCTCATGGGAATCGCAACCCCACACTGTCACTGAACCACGACCAAAGCGTTCAGCTGCATGGATCATCTTCAGATGACATGTCTCGTTATGCTGCCAATGTTTAATACGCCCCCGAGTCACTGTTGACACATTGGCGAATTGTGGAAACGATAGTTGGGACGTCAGTGCCCTTAGTTCCTCGAATCTCCGGCACACGGAAAAGGGCTGTTTCACCGCTTTAGGAAAAAATGATCGAGGTTGCAGTGAGCCCTGAGGTTAGCAGTGATAGAAATGCGAACCATAGACAAGATTGCCTCATTTAGTAGAAAACACTAGACAATAGGTCCAAATCTGCTCCTACTGGCAAATGCAATCTGTAAACAAAAGGTGTGCCCTTTGGCGCTAAGATTGGGTTAAGCAAGAGGCACACTTTGCTCTAATGGTGTTACACAAGGTTTACAGATGAATCAAGGTCTTCACCCTAGTTCCAATTGTATGTGTCGATATCACACATGACAGGCAAACAGATTATGTCCTTGTCAACGGATATTAGTCTGGCGTGCGATATTTTAGGTAATATTCATTGGAATTAATGGCAGAAATTCTGAACTGCAAAACATAGGGGGTGGTTTGTTTTTCAATATCCTTCAAGTTTATCGACAATTTAAAAATATGATATGTTGAGCATTAAGTAGAATTTGGAATACCTACACTCAGATTGCCAATATGCATCAATGCTAACTTTAACTAGGCGCGAGTGAGTGAGTTAATATTTTACGTCACATCGGCAATGTTTCACCGTATCGTAACGAAAACTATTTGACGTTTATAAAGAACATCTATAAAACCTGTCGTCAAAGGACAGTAAAACAACTCGATTATCACAGTTAGAATTAAAACTAGCATGTAATAGTGAGTGAGTTAGGATTTTACGTCACATCGGCAATATTTAGGGTACGTAAGTTCCGAAACATTCAAAGGAAATTTAACATTTATCAGGTTTTTAAACGTAGTATTTTTTTAACGGTTTTTTAAAAAAAAAATATGGCTACATTTGACTACAATCGCCAGCGACTGAAGGGATTATGAAAATACAGCTAGTGTCCATGCAGGCAGCAACAGTACTGTTAGTCCCCATGGTTCGTGTATGGTGATCAACTTTCAGCTGTTGGCAATCTATAGCCTGTTTTTCACATTGTGTTCTCCTCTATAGTTAAAATGTTTTAAATTTAATTACTAGTGTATGTGTTATCCTAGTTGTTTTACTGTACTTCGTTTACAGGTTTTATAATTTACCTTTAATTATTATTATTCTATAACTTGTTTTAGTCACGATATGGCTGAAATATTGCCCAAAGTGACTTTACATTTTAATTCACTCACTCACATGTGCCAGAACATAGCACTTATGGTCGATATAAAGATGTCTGGGAGGGAGATCTTACATACTATATGATTATTCCCAGAATGATATAATGCAAAGAATCATTGAGACTGTCCACCCCGGTAATTAAATGAGGAGCGTGTTGGAGGGGATCGGATCGGGAGACAACAAAAACAACTACAAACATCTCACTTTATCTGACTTCTTTGGAATACATGTGACTCTTGTGTCATAAGGTGAAAGCGTCGTTCGTATATATTGTTTCTACTTTATGGCAGATAGTAACGCGTCATCAAAAGATGATGTATTCCCCAATAATTGCCATAATGGTACCTGATTCACCAGTACTGGTGTCTCAGTAACTGGTCACTGAAGACGAGCGTGAACAATTGACTTACTCTGCGAATTCGGTGCCAACATTAGGATTATATCTAAACACGCATACATATTCAACCATTGATAAATGGCACCAAACTTATAATGTTGGTCAGATATCTTGAAACAGGTCAACATCACATTTGTCTTTTACCGCCATCATGGATTAATGGGGAACCATGACATCCCCATAGGAAGGCGTACATGGGCATTCGTCTCAAGGTTATAGTACAGTTCTGTCATCTCACTGGCATCAACCCTGGTGTGTAAATTACAGATGTCATGTCAGTTTTAATACTTTTGGGTCTGCACACGTGCTTTGTTTCTTCCAGTGTAGGTGACACGGTGTTTGGTTAAGCTGACAAATGGAATGAGAACAAAATATGCGTCACTTAAACAAATCACCTTGACAATGATATTGGTCAGACGTTATACATAGTCCTATGACAGTGAGCATGCATAATGAATGGCAGACCAAAATAAGGATTTCTTGTCACCGCAAAGGACGTCACATTTTAGTGAGAATTATAGCTACAAAACACTAAGTGTTTGAAAATATTGCAGTTACCATTATTTCTGTTCTATGTGCATCATTTAGTCTCGTGTTTTGTCAGTTCTACCTGGTGTTACCCATAATTAAGGTTGACAAGGGAAAGATACCTTGCAACGAATAAAGCTTGTCTCGTGGTTGCTTCGTAGTTAATAGAATAACTTGTCCAGGGACGCTAACCCTTTGTAACTGTTAAAAATGTATGTATCCCCTTGTAACCAATTATGCGCTGATGGAATAGGTGGTGAATTGCCGATGCTCTACAGACACTTGTCGAACTGACAACACGAGTCCCCCTCTTGGTCCTAAAAGTCATATTTTGTGCTCTTCATAAACAGTCCAAAAACTCCAAGAGTAAATCTGGCCTAATGCATAATTAATTTGGGCACACAGCGGTGCACGCCTGACATGTGACCTCGTTGCATCAGCCAGTTTATCAATTGAATTTAATAAACTATTTTCTATTGGTGATACTATTCAATAGCATTTACTCGACAATGCTTTTGACTTTGCATATTTGTACGGATCGTATTTTTCATTGCCGTTTGTTTTCTCAGTTTCAGATGATGGAATCGGTAAGTACTTATGCTTTTTTCTGACTATTCCCCATTATTGGTATCACAGTTTATGAATCAGTTTTAGTTTTTCAAACTGTAATCAGGATAAACTATTGAATACATTTTGAAAATGTGTTTGGTGGATCGTTGGGGTTTACGTAATGGAGAGACTCGTGTACATTGATTTGCGTATCCACTGATAATGACACTAGCCACACTGATAATAAAGATTTGAGTCTATATGAAGGGATCCAGCAACAATAACAAATACTGATATCTTTCTTATGCCTTGCATTTTGCAAAACCTATTTTATTATCACCAAACATCTCTCCAGCACATTTGTGCCTGGTGTAATGAATTAAGCAACGTGTCTAATACGTAGTTCTGACCTCACCAGCAGAAGAGATCCAGTCTTACATTGTACATTACTTTTCTCATCATGATATAATGCAAAGAATGACTGAGACTATCAACATTATAGTCTGTCAACCCAACTTTTGGGACACCCCATATTTTGTAAAATATCTTCCAAATAACACCAACTGACCACATGCCAATAATGTATATATTAATGACCCCCCTTTTGACGTAATAAGAAAAAAATGTTCTAATTTCGTTGGGCACTTGGGGAAAACGTTACTTAAGTGACAATCATTAAAATTTCTGATTTTTGTGGTGGCAAGAGACGGGGTGTAGTCGCAGTAAACGTAAGAGGTTACGGGTTAGGTCAGAGCCCAATTCACGTGTATGACCACGAGTCATCATTACAAGTGACTTGGAAGGACAGAGTTGTTACCCTAATGATAATTTCCTCCAAAACATTTTCGCACATTGTACCCATGTTTGGAATCAAACCCGGGTCTCCGGCACCATGAGAAAAGGTTTTAACCTCAAGAATATCTTACCGACCCCTTCCCAGTTAAAACTGTTTAGATGTCTATTCTAGCGTCTGAGTGAGATTATCAGGAGTAAGGATTGTGTAGATGTGTTTTTTAGTGTTCGAATCAGACCAATTGGAGTTAGTGAGTTAGTGTTTGAGTTAGCGTTTAGCAATATTCCGGCATCATCAGGGCGGGGGACACCAGAAATGAGCTCAATACAACGTACCCATGTGAGGAATCGAACCCGGGTCCTTGGCGTGACGAGAAAAAGGCTTTAATTACCAGACTATCTCGCCGACCCTGTCCTAGCTGGATCTGTTCGTGTCCGAGTTAGGACTGTTGAGATGTATCGTTTAGTGTTTGAGAGAGACTATAAGAAGATGTATATGTTAGTATGTGATGTGAGCCTTGAGGGACGTTTTCCTTCCGGAGGGAGTTACTATGTCTGTATGTGATTAATGGTCAAGTTACCCTTAGGGAAACGTATGTGTTTGTGAGAGAGCAAAGACATGGATTGTGTACTGGAAAAATGTGCTGTTTGAAAATATTTATAATTTATAACGTATCTACAACTCGCAGCTAGACACGAAAGGCTACTCATACCAACATAGTATCTTAAATGTTATTCCTGGGGAATGTATACAAGTAAGATGGGGAATAATCTACGCGTGTAAATCTAACAGCCTGCTATTCCACTGATGCATCAGGGAAACGGGGACCGCTGGGAACCCTTGGAGGCCACGTTATAAGACGGATGGGGTTTTCTTCGTTTAGTTGTATGTTTTAGCTGTCGAGTCAGACAACATGTGAGTAAATATGCAGATTATTAGAAACGTACGTGGTAAATAATTTAAAGAACGTCCATTGCGATCAGACGTTAAAGTAAGCTGGCTTCTCTTCAGTCTCTATATGTTGAATACATTTGTTTATTTTGAGCTTTATGGTCGTAAACTATCGTATAAGGTGAATGCCCACACTTGCCATATCTGACCAGTTAGGGAGGGTGACCATGAGGTGGACAAAGTTGAGTTTAGGTGGAACCTGTCGCCCCCTTTGCAATTTGACTGCATCCATTAATCTTGGATCAGTATCATATTTCGTTTGACAGGCTTTTGGGGTAGGGATGGCCCTATTGGCCGAGGCGCCGAAAATTGCTGTGCATGAAATGACTAAATAATCAGCAGCTAAGTAGCAACAAACCAAACTGGCACATTCGGACAGGTTACATAGTTTCGTTTCTGTGATGTGTAGTCAAGACTGTTGTAAACAAGGGTTCAGAACAATGGGTTTTTTTCCCTTCTTTCGGGGATAATTGTTTGGATGTTTTGTGTACATTTACACACACCAGTTGAATGCAGTACATCTCACTCTCTCTCTCTCTCTCTCTCTCTCTCACACACACACACACACACACTCACACACACACTCACACTCCTATCATATCCGTCACTGAGTGTTCTATTGTCAATCAATTCAGATGTGAAACATATCAAAGTGTAGTCCCAACTATAACGTATGTTACATTTGACCACTTTCTAAAATTTCATTGTGTAATCATATGAAGCATATCAGTTAGGTGATGTAGATTGAGATCCCTCATTAAAATTGTTTAGGTCTGGTAGTTAGGTCCGCACACAGCAATATTCCAGTTTTATGGCGACCGTCTGTAAATAATCCAGTTTGGGCCAGACAGTCAAGTGATAAACAGCATTAGCATCGATCTGCGCAATTGGGAACCGATGCCATTTGTCAACCAAGTCAACGAGCCTGACCACCCGAACCCGTTAGTCGCCTCTTATGTCAAGCATGGGTTACTAAAGACCAATTCTAGCAGTCACTGTGGGATTGGGGGTGCCTTAAAGGATTGTGCTATTTATAATATTTATGTTCAACCAAAGTAGAACCTCAGCAATGTACATTATTTAATACCAGCATTGCATATGCTGGTTAATCGTGTACTATAAATACACCCAAGTAACTGGGACAAACCACAATGCTATAAATAGATAGTTTGCTTCACTGCCCTGCACAGAGGATTAATCCTCGAGTCGCGTTACCACTGAGTTATCTCCCCTAGCGAATATCTGAATACTGAAGTTGTTATGGAAACAAATAACCACGGTCATTAACATGTGAATCCAGAAGTGCGCTTGTTGCCAAAATATTATCGCAATCCAAATGCATTTTATGTAGCAAATAAGACGTATGTATAAACACACACATGCACAGTACCAGTGACATGCGTGGCGGGGCTATCCTGTGGCTAGAAATAGTTCCAGGATGGTCTCCTGACTTGACGCTGATGAATACAAACTTGGTTCTTCTTCACATGCATCTTTCTAATCGTCAGTTACTTATATATCAATTATAAGTCTTCCGTAGGTTTATGCCATCGATATCAAGAAGTATTTAGTAAGTGTGAGTGAGTTTAGTTTTACGCCATTTTTACCAGTATTCCAGCATCACCACGGTGGGGGACACCATACATAGTTATACTGGACCTTATTCATACTGGACAGTATTCCACCATCATCACGGCGGGGGACACACATACATAATTATACTAGACCTTATTCATTCACTTATCCACTCGTTAAGTCAGGAAATTCAGTACCAGAATTCTATTATTAGAGATATAATACAATCCAAGGCAGAGGCAGTATCAGAGATGATACGGGACGGGACATATTCATCATATGCCATAGTTATGTCAATTACACAGACGATGGGAAGATAGACGTGTGGTCATCCGAGTGAGGACTTCAGAGACATGTTTTAGGGTGGGATTTAGGTTATTGTAATATGGATGTATTAAGGTGGGTGTAAGGCCGCCGAGGCCGTTTGGTTTACAGAGGCAGCGAGTCTTGGGAGATATATGCGTTGAGGACACAATTACGACAGTGAAAGAGTTAGATCCGGGTGGACGTATGTGTCATCAAACTTTGTGTTACAATTGGAGTTAATTGCATGTGTTAGTGTGAGAGTCAGGTCTGCAGAGACTTACGTTTCTGGTGGGAGTTAGACTGAGGGGAGAGTTACGTTATGGGCCTAGGGCGATGTGTGGGAGATAAGGTTTTGCTATAATAGACTATGCTATAGAATGTACAGATAGTTGGACAAAGTTCACTACATTATTTTATTATTTAAAGTGACAAATTATATCACTTTTATAATGACACTATTTAAAAAAGCAACATCAACCTAATCATTGCGTATTCTCTGACACAATTTTCAGTATATGTCACATGAGTGAGTGAGTGAGTTTAGTTTTACGCCGCACTAAGCAATATTCCAGCTATATGGCGGCGGTCTGTAAATAATCGAGTCTGGACCAGACAAGCTAGTGATCAACAGAATAAGCATCGATCTGCGCAATTGGGAACCGATGACATGTGTCCACCGATCCCGTTAGTCACCTTTTACGACAAGCACAGTCGCCTTTTGTGGCAAGCATGGGTTGCTGAAAAGCTATTCTACCCCGGATCTTCACGGGTCCTATGTGTCAAATGAGATAGCGTCATGTAACAGATGCGGCATAAGAAAGCAGACAGCCATCTACCAACAACCAGCATACAGGCATGCTGAACGTACAGAGTAGTATACCTCAGTATTTCTTCACATCAGGCAGCTACATGCAGCAAGCAGCCAGCACTACTCCAAGTTTTCCGGTTGCGATAATGGCTACAAAGATGTGAAAAACATACTATTACCATGGATGAAGACATATGCACTCATACTCTAAGAACATATAACTTATTTAGTTTGAGGTACTTAGACAAACAATGACAACCAAAAGATGGAAGGTGATGTGATCTTCTCCTTCCTTCCGCCAGGCGTGCTCTCGCTCTCTTATTTGGTTGCTGAAATTTCAGCAATATTACAAAACAGCAAGCTGTCATTCCCCCATACCACACCGAAGGGACACATCCACTCTGTAAATCGGTCATCGTCGGAGGCATGCGATCCAGAGAGACAAACTACTGGAAGAGGTATGCGTTAGAGGTATTGGTAGCTAGAAGATGTGTGTGTTTGTCTGAGAGTCAGATTCCGTTGAGACGAATATTTTAGGGTGGGCGTTAGACTGTGGGGAGATGTATGCGTTAGTGAAGGAGCTAGGTCTGTTTTGACGTATGTGT